AATTTTTATTTTAAATAATTATTTCATATAATATTAAATGAATCTTGTTTGGAAAGACAAATCTTTAGGATAATTATTTCAAGTATTATATCATATAAAGAAAATATTAAAATTTTATTATTTTTTTTTGTAATATATAAAGACATATTTTCGTTCTTTTTTTTTGTTTTTTTAGAAATACATGGTGTTCATTAAATGAATATATATATATAAGGATAAGAAGATTCTTATAATGAATGTCTCAGTCTATATTATTTTTCAATCGAATACATTTATTAGAGTTATTTTATCCGCTTAAGTTATTTTTTTAATAAATCTAGATATATAATTAGAAAGTACAAAGAATAAACACGCACGTTATTATTTTTGAATAATCCGTTGACTTAGTAAAAAACAAAAATGTTATTTATTTTAACAGAACCTTTCATTTGTATGAAACATCGAATTTTTTTCAATAAATTTAGATAATCAATGTAAAAATAAAGACATGTGTACGCACAAAACAAACATATTTAAAGTACCATTAAAAATATACGCAAGTCAGTTATGAATTGATTTCGAACCAGGACATATATCAGTGAAGAACACAGTCATTGTACCGTTGTATTCGGAAAAGAAAAACACCTATAAATCGACTTCTATTCAATAGATTTTGAGAATTTTTTTTTTCGTTTTATTGGTCTGAAGATGGTCATTCACTTCTGAAAAAATCAAACCATAGAAACAGTGCCAAATGCCTAGCTTCTAACGTCACCTGTCGGAAGAAAACCTAATTTTTGTAAAATTATTTTCGCAACTAGAGTTGAAGAACTTGTTAAGAGGTTTCAGGATATGTCTTTATTTTTAGCTTTAGATGGAGTTTTCTCAATAAAAAAACGATCGATAATGGGCGTTAAGATACTTTTTGTATTAATGTAAAGCAGCATTAAAATCATTGACATTTCATTTGAAGAAATTTCATTTTATTATCGTTATAACTCAATGAAAACGGAACCTTTTCCCATAAAAATTTTACTTTTTTTTCGGTTCATCAAAAAGTCAAATGAAAAATTTGTCTCTGTTCGAAAGAAAATTTCGTTTTACCGGCAAAGTATGCAGTAACATTTTCTGAAGTAATTGTACACAAAAATTGATTGATATATGAAAATAGCATACAGAAATCGACTCTATATCAAGAGAAGTTTAATAGTATCATCATTTTTGTACCTCTATTACATCGAAAAAAGGTATTTAACATCAATGTGACAAGATTTTCAATGAAACAATGCATTTATCAGTTGTCATGATCCATTATTGCTGAAATGTCTTATGAGTTTCTTCAAAATAAATAATAAGCATGTCAATATACAGAGAATTGTTGAGAAAATATTATTTTAATAAACATTCGACATCACTCAATCAGATGCAATACTTTCTTTTCTTTTATTATCAAATTTATTTTTATCAATCTTTTTCTGCGAACGGTACAAAATCTATGCTTTTTCACTCATATAGACATGACTTTTTCTGACAAAGTTATCTATAGTTAAATGAAATTTTTTCTTTCTCTACAGTGATTTTATTTGAATCATTGAAATTTTTACTTGTCGACTTGTTTTTGTATATTTATAGAGGAATGATCACAAGCAAAATAACACAACTTTTAAGTGGACAGCTGTATCAACAACATATATATATATATATATATATGTAGAATACGTATAGATTATAGGCTTTTCTTTGCTAAACATGAGAGAACGAATATTCTATTGAGTAGAAGATAAATAATCAATATCTACATCCCAAGAATATGTATATGAATTATGATCACCATTTACTCCTATAAAATACGTAATAATCAATACTGAGAATCGGAGAAGGAGGGGGGGGGGTGAACGTTTGACCCTCAGTCTGTGTCCTTTGATGTTAATTTGGTGTCTATCAGCTGTTGGTAAAATCTATCCTATTAAATATAAACTTAATGAGAAGACAATCTGTTGATTATTAATAATAACAAGAACATTATTTCTTTACACAACATTAGTCGGTCTTAATGTACACAACTCTTCAAATCGTTTACTAATTTCTTATAATGAAAATCCAAGATAATGCTGTTGTCTTTCAAAACAAATGTTAATCGAGTGCACGTGAGACACTCAAATGTCCTTAGATCTGACAAATGAAAAACATATTTGACAACGATAATTGATCAAATGTTATCAGCTGGAAAAATTCCTTATGTGAACAATGTAAAGAGTAAGTATATAGAAATGAAATAATTCATCTTATCTTCTATTTTATCAATTGTCTAATACTGTAGACATATGATGTATTATAGTCAAACATAACATTCAAATAATTAATCAATTGTCAAGATTTCTTTGTCAGACAAACATATCTGATTTTTTTTTATTGATTATTCTATATATATCCTTACACTAAAAGAAATAAACGTGTACAGGTCAATGTATCCTTTTGGCTCAACTTTTAAACGAAAGATATATACAAATATATTTGCTCTGTTTTTTTCTGAAATAAAAGAAAAATTCTTGATACGAAAACATGTATTTATAAACACCAAAAAAAAAAAAACAATTCAACATCCAACAGAACTCATTCGAAATTGTTTCATAGTCATTGCTTCAATATCACCGGAAGTTAATAATAATTGTTGTCCATTATAATGATTATTAAAATGTCCATAATTAAATGGATTAGCAATCGATATATGTTTCACTGATACTTTTGGTTGATATTGTTCAATAAAATGTTGATTTGTTAATACTGAATGATTTTGTTCAAAAGAATTTGTTCTTACTGTACCATCAGATGAACCTGATAAACGAGATTCACTTCTAGGATTTGTTAATTTACGTAGAACTGTTGTTGCTGATGATGAACCAACATATGTATCTAATTCATTAATCGAATTATAACCAGATGTTGATAAATGTTCCAAACGATTTCTCTAATAAAAATAATAAATATTATTTCGTTTTTTTTTCTTTGTTCTCTATTCAGAGATCAAAACAAGACAAAGAAAAACAATATTTTCATAATATTATAAAAAGAAACACTGCATTAATCAATTTGGATTTGATTACATGCTTCAATTAAACAAACCTTAACAAGAGAAAAAAAATAATGAGATAATTAATAACAAAGAATCAATTATATCTAATCACTTATCTGCAAAACAAAATTGCTCAATACTAAATAGATTGATGATGGATATAGATTTATTATTTATTATCAAGCACATTTAGAGATTATTTTTGTAAATCAACAAATAAAATAAAATTTAATTTGCATCTTAAATTTCTTTTTTGTTCTTTTCAATCGAATAAATGAAAAACTTACAATATAATCTCGATCTTTTCGTTTCATAATACGTCGTCGTCGATATGTCTACATATATATTAATCAAAAAAAACTTTAAATAAAAATTATTCTTTCAAACTTACAACAAAATACATCCAAAAGAAAAATATAAGATGAAATAATACATATATTATAGCTAATGATATTAATGCTATTGTATCCCAATATGGTGCTACATCAGATGGACAAACAGCAATTAATGCATGCCATCCACATACAACACATAACATAATCATTGATATAAGTACATATTTATCCTATAAATCGGAAAAAAAAAACATAAAAATATTATTTTTATTAGATTAAAATAAAAGCAAATAACTAATGTTGTTAAATAAGATATTGTAGGTAAACATCGCACAACAACCCATTTGAATGTAACAGCTGTTAAAAGAAGTGTAAAACTTAATTGAAGACGATTTTGTGGAAGATTATATGTAACACTAAATGTAGCAAAAGCCATTACTGTTATAAAGAACTAAAACAAAAAAAGAAATTTTTTGAGAAAAAAAAAAAATATATATATATATATATCGAAATTTACGATAAGAAAATAAACATTCCAATAAAAATATCCTGGTCGTCGAGCTGCACGACCTAAATTAAAGTTTATTTATTTTTTTTATGAAATAAAAGAAAATCTATTTTGTTACAAGTCACTGAAAAAGCTGGATGTTGATTTTGTGATGGTGAAAATGGACTTGATAATAATTTTGTTGATGTTTCAACATGTTGATGCAAACACCATTCTTGTTGATCAATAAATGTATCTTCAAATTTAACAAGAAAATATTTTGTTTATAAAAACAAAAAAAAAGAAAAGATTAAATAAAGATCTATAATACGTGTATTAATTGCACTTAATTGATTTGTATCTGCAATAAGTAAGACTTCATTAATAGTTCGTGTTGTTGATATTGTTATTGTTAAATCCTTTTAAATATATTTATTAATTATTAAAAAAAGAAAATTTTTTTACTTGAACATCAACTGGAAAATCATTAAGTTCAAGATTTTCAAGAAAAATCCCTTTGATTTTTCTCATTTCATAAATCTATATTAAATATAATTAAATAATAAAAAACGTTTAAAAAAGTCTAATTTCGAACCATTGGTATATCGATTCCATCATAAACAACTTTATGCCAAACATCATTTTTTAAATCACCAACTGAATTATCAATATATAATAATGGATTCCAAAATTTATTTGCATCGAAACAATCAATATCCTAATTAATAACAAATTTATTTTCAAATAAGTAAAACAAAAAAAGAAAAACTTTTTTGTGCTTTAAAATAATATTTTTTTTCTTTTTTGATTTGACATACTTACATTTTACTTACCATTCCTTTTAAGGTCGGTTCTGACCAACGTGCTTGAATAAAAGCTTCAGCTTGGAATTGTTCTTTTAATGTATCAATTTCACCAATTTTTAAAAATACTAGACGTAATTCAACCGTTACCTAAAATAAAAAAAAATTTGAATAAAATATTTGAAAATAAGAAATAGTTGAACTTTGTCTCATTTATTTTTTTAATCTTATGTTTATTGAAGCATGACAAGTTGACCTGACCTATTCTCGTTGATATTCATATCGATCAGTCTATTCATTTTCATTCGTATATATTCAATACAATGAAAAATCTCTATTCAACAAAACTTATTTCACATTCAACTGGTTTTATAATACCACTTGGAATTCTATTTATTTTATTTGGTATTACATCAATTATTTTATCATCTATTGATTTATATTATAGTCGTTCAATATTATCATTTCCAATAAAAATTTCAACTTCTATAAATGTAACAGATACAAAAAATTCAACAAATTCAACAAATATAATCAATTCAACATATATAACAAATACATTATTAAAAAGAATTTTTATTCCAAATGCATTTTCTGAACAATCAATATGGCCAACACTTGGTAAAGGTATATGGTGTGGACTTTTTTTTCTTGTTGTTGGCATTTTTTCATTAATTGTTCATCGTGAAAAAACTTTAATATCAATAAGAATATTATCATTACTTGCATTTATTTCATTATTTATTAGTTTTTTTCTATTTTTATCATCAATAACTGTATTTCAACGTTATATTGTTGAAGGTCGTTTTAATTCTTATAAAAGAACATCATATGAACAAAAAGAAGTTGTAGTTAATGCTCTTCTTCTTGTTTGTGGAGTTTTATCTTTTATTATTTCATTAGTATTAGCTATTGGTACACTTATTGCAGGAAATTTTTGTCAACAACAATCGGATGATTTTGAAGATATTGATTATTTTAATCAACAACAACAACAACAACAACAACAACCACCTGCCTATTCTACACAACCTTATTATGGTTAAATAATAAAAATTATTGAAAAATTAACTTAATATCTTAGTTTATGCTATACGAATATCTTTTAGAATTCATTTTTTTTTAAAGAAATGTTTTTCGTTTTATGTTATTCATATCTATAGAAATGTTATTATTAGAATAATAAAAACAAATACCTAGACAAATAATTAAACTAGCATAAATAATCAATTTTCGTTTTTCTTTTTTTTTGTTAATATTCAAACTGATATAATTCTCATATTTATCTAAAAAGTATTTATTAGATATGATTAAATTATTTTCATTGAAGAATTCTTTTGAAAAAATTTCTATAAATAATATATTGTTATCAAAAAATGAAAATAAAAATCTTACCCTATTGAGTTTATGTACACCTGAATTATCTTCAATTGGTCTTGTATTTTGTTTTTCACATATTTTAATTATATTATCTTTAATTTCTGTAAGAATTTTAATATTTTGTTTAAAATTATTATTTAATTCTTGAACTGTATTCGTTAATTCACGTAGATCCATAATTGATAATGATAATGAAGATGATGTACTATGTATTCGTTTTACTGGAATATATTGATGAGATGGTGATGATCCTCTTAATGTATGTGAACTTCCTGTTCCTCCTCCTGATAGGTTCATTGATAATTATCTTAGATTTTTTATTTTTATAATAGAGATCAATAACAACGATAAATTGTCGAATCAAAAAGATAATTGTAAATATTGAAGAACAACCAATACAACATTTATGCTCAAATTGAAGATAACTTATTTGAACTAAAACAGATAATATTAATCTGAAAAAAAAAACATGAGAGATTCAAAGAAAATATTATTTATATCTAACGAGGGAAGATCTCCAAGTGTGACTTGCCCTTTTGAATCAGATCTATACCATTTAGTAGAGTTTGATAAGACTCGACGAAACCTAAAAGGGTTCGTTTCCATCAGCTGTTCTTCTCGAGTTATGACCGTTTTACTGAATTTTCAACCTATAGCAAGGCATATATGGAAAAATCGAATTACGAAATTTTGATCTGAAATATTACCTATAGATAGGCCTCATGGTCCTTAGAATGTCCTAAAAATTTCAGGCCAAAAGAATGTTTTTCTCTTGAGATATCGAATGTTGAAGACACTTACTTCCTTGCGATGCATAATCGTGTTTTGGATATCCAATATCTGGAGAAGAAAACATTCGTTTAGCCTGAAATTTTGAGAACATTCTAAAAATCATAAGACTTATCGATGGGTACAATTTAAGGTCAAAGTCTCGTAGTTCGATTTTCCCATATATACCTTACTAGATATTGAAAATTCAATAAAATGGTCATAATTCGAGAAGGACAGCGTATGTGGACGAATCTTGTTAGGCTTCGTCTAATCTTACCGAGCTTTATTAACTGGTATAGATCCGATTCAAAACGGGAAGTCACACTTGGAAACCTTCTCTTGTAAGATTATTGATTTTTCTATTTCTAAACAGTTGTTTGATTCTCGGAAAATCATCTGATCTTTGTTTATCTATCAACAACTAAGCTTGTGCGACTCCAGTATCTGTGTTGGTACTAGTGATAAGAAGACGAAATGATTGGATTGGTAAAAAAGAGAGAGAGAGCGAGAGAGAAGCGATATTCTATCTCGAAACTTTCCCATGCATACAAAGAGAAAGCAAGAGCATAATACATTCAATATGCAGAGATAAACCAAAGGCTGTTGTAAAAGCCAAGAAGAAAAGGAAAAAAGTATGTTGTTTTAATTGATACATGAATTAACAACTACATTCTAAAAAAACTAGCACAATTACTTGACAGACACTTTTATTTCTATTGACTAAAGATATTTCCTTACAGATTAAGCAAGAATAAGAGAGGAAATGAATTAATAATAAATCTCAACGTCAACATTTGTTTTTCTTTTCTTATTCAAATGAATACGAACAAGAATAGAAACAGTTTAGATCTTATCGACCATTTATATTTTATATTTTCCATATGAATATTTTGATGATATGTTATCAAATAAGACCATTAATTTCCAAATGAAAATATAAAATCTTTTGATAAAAAAGAATGATCTAATTATAAGAGACCACGTTGACCTTATCAAACTAATCAATGACTTGAGATAGAAAAAGAAAAAAATTTGACACAAACTATTAAACATTATCGACTAATCAATATTGTTAATCTCGTCTGTTATTCCAGTTGATAGATACAAATAAGAACAATGTATTTTCTCTTGTTAACATGTGAAGGTCTACATTTACTTATATAATAAGAAAAAAAAATATCATTTCTATCAACAAATAATTATTTTTATTTTTTACAAAGTTTATACTTTATCGATTCTATTCAAATAGAAACAAGAATTAAGAACGAATGTAAGCAGTTAGGATAGATGTGTACAATACGAATATATTAAATGAAATTAATATTATTCTTTTGAAATATTTTCTTTCTCTAATACGATATATTTAGTTGTTCATTCTATAAATGATAAATATAGACAAATCAAGTTTTTGCATTGCATACACATCTTTAAACATAATATTCAACGACTATGATCAAGTTTTCTTCGTATATTATTTATTAAAGTATTGAATAGACAAATTGTAATTTTTTGATTATCTGAATACGAGAAGATTATAATGAATAAGATCTATTTTATATCAATCAAAAATTACACCATGCTTTTTAGATTGTAAAACAAATAGAATTCATTCAATAAAATGATCTATTACATAAATCTTTTGAAATTTTCTCGATAAGTATTTAATTGAAGGTTTTATAGCACATAAAACTGATTGGAAAATAAAAAAAAAAATCAGAATTTAATATTTCATTTCTTTTTTAATGATATCAAAAAGAAGTCATAATAGAGACTTACATTTTTCACTATTCGAAAGAACGAACTCGAATGAGAGCCTAAACCTATGAAAAAAATTGATGAATCAGTTCATAAAAGTATTCACTACTTACATCTTCAAACTTGCCTGAAATTTATAATAAATTAATCTTGAAAGAGAACTGATTCAAACATAAGAAATATAATAAACAGTGCTTCTGCATAAGTTGAACTCAACACAATAAAATTTCGAAGTTATTTTGTTTAAATGAGAATGATTCCTTGAGATAAAAAGAAAATAGCAAATTTTGATATATCTAAATTTATTTTATTCATTTTAGACAAGTTTATCTGTCAAGTGACAAATATGTTCCTTGTTTAACATATTGACTTTTTACATAGAATCACGTCTCGGCTTCGGTCTTCAGAATGATGAAAACTAATAGTTTCTATCTAGCTGCTTTTAGGAGTTATTTAAAACACAATAAACTACTTTATATTTCTAAATGAATAGTAGTTTGTAGATAATTGAATTGACTTTTGACGAAAAAAACACTTCTTTTTTGATGAAAATCAAACATTATATATCCAAGAAAAAGAATAACTAATGTTAAATTTTTAGGATTTATCTAATAACATGAATTAATTGTTTTATTTCTTAATGATTAACTTTAGTTTAAGAAAAATATTAAAAATTCTTTAATATTTATTTAATAGTAAAATTTTCTTGATAAAATTAGATTAGTATTTTAACGAATATAATAATTATCTTACGACATATAAATCGAAAGTTTAAAAAGTGAATTCAAACTTGCCGATCATTGTATTCTATATGAAGAAGATCACCTAGATTTATTTGTTGATTGTTACTTTGTTTCTACAGTGTTACCCTCGATAGGACGTGATTAAACTTAGTAAGAGAGAAAGAAAATGATCAGAAAAATATATAGATAAAATGCACTAAGCGATGTGATATCACTCTCTTATTGTTCTTCATTATCTAGGTATACATACACTTTAGTATATAAAAGTAGCTTTCATAGTCATTCGTTTACTATTCTTCTTTTATACGATAAAGTTTACAATAAGATAAATTTTATCTATTAATACTTCGTCAGCAATGATTTGGGTAAATTAAGATTTTCTTAGAATTTTTTTTTTTTTTAAAATTATTTTCATTTGAATAGATTTCATTAATTAGCTGTTTGCTTACATTGTCGAGTTCAGCTTATGGACGTTCTAGTAAATAAAATTAATTTTATTTTGATTTATTTTAAAATCGATTATATAATATTTAGCATATGGTTTCTATTCTTCTGTACCACATAGTCAAACTTCAAACTTAATGGGAATGTCTGATTCAACTATGCAACAAAAACCTTTAATGGCTCGACCTTCATTTCAAAGTCAAGTTCCTATGCCAAATGTTTACAGACTACAACCAACACCAAAAACTACCGATATGTCATCAAGGTAAATAGAAAAAAAATATTTTATTTTTTTATTTTCGATCAAATGTGTTGTTTGTTTTTAGTTGGATGCAAAACGTTCAAGAAAGTACTTCAAAGACTCCAATGGACTATGGGTAAATTCGAGAAGTTTTTTTTTTTTATTTTTTTTAATAAATAATCTGTTTTTGTTTTTGATTGTTTAGTGTTCCACAAAAACAAGAAACATTTACACAAACTGAACAAACTGTTGTTACTTCACCATCATTCGGTACACAACAACAAAAAGTTCAAAGAGTACAAATGCAGACAGAAGCTGGTCATATTTCAAATTTTATCGAAAAATAAAATCTAAGTTTTGTTTTTTTTTCTTTATTTTATTTTAGACATGCTCTGTCGTGGTCGACGTCGAGAAACTGTTATTCCATTAGAAGATAAACGTCGATTTGTTGTCTGTATTGATAATAGCAAAGGTTTTGAACAACGTTGTCCAAAAGGTCTTTATTATTATCCTGAATCACGTCGATGTGAACGTAGTATGTTATCGTCTTTTGTTTTTTCTTAACTTCTTATTTCAAAATTTCATTCTTTTTTTTTCTTGTATAGAATTTCGAGGATTAGAAAATCCATGTGCTCAAAAACCATGTCTAAATAATGGTCAATGTGCTCCAGTTGATGTAACATCATATAAATGTCAATGTCCAGCAGGTTTTGATGGTAGAAATTGTGAATTAGATGCTCGTGTTTGTCAAACTCAACAACCATGTGGACAATCATCAGACAGACGATGTCAATCATTTCGTTTGGGTGCTGCTCTTCCATATATGTGTATTTTTCAAGATGGTCTTGCTTATGGTCTTAATGCTCAACAAGGTTAGAATTTATTTATTTAAAAAATGAAGATCTAATTAAATATTTTCTTATTATTTCTTTTTCTAGTTCAACGAAGTCCATGTCAAGGTGTTGATGGAACACAAGCATTAGCTGTTACTAATAAAGGTTTTATCATGTGTGATGGTGAACGTATGTTCGTTGAATCATGTCCAGGTGGTACTGTTTGGGATGATCTTAATAAAGCTTGTGTTTGGCCAGATATGCAAACTTTTACTGATGTTCCATTTATTGGTCAATCAGAAACACAACAAGGTTTGTTTCTTTTCTTTTTCTTTTTATATATCAAACAAGGTTTCTTTTACTTTTTTTTTGTTAGTTTCAACTAATAATCAACAACAAGAATCAATAGTTACTTCAACAACACAAAGTAATCAACTTCAAATGCCACAACAAACACAAGTTAGACAGGACGAATCAAGTTCATCTTTTGTTGATCAAGCTTCAATGTCAGAACAACAAACACAATCTTCAACACCACAACCCGAACAAATGCAACAATTTGGATATTCACAACAACCGGAACAAATGCATCAATTTGGATATTCACAACAACCTGAACAAATGCAACAATTTCAATCATCCCAACAACCAGATCAAACGCAACAATTTGGATATTCACGACAATCCGAACAAATGCAACAATTTCAATCACCCCAACAACCAGATCAAATGCAACAATTTGGATTTTCACGACAACCCGAACAAACGCAACCATATCAATCATCCCAACAACCAGATCAAATGCAACAATTTCAATCATCCCAACAACCAGATCAAATGCAAGAATCTGAATTGCCACGTCAACCAGAACAAAAACAAGAATTTCAATTACCAGAAGAATATTCATTTCCTCAACAAGAAAAGACACAACAATTTCAATTATCACAACAACAACAACAACAACAACAACAACAACAACAACAACCCGAACAAATGCAAGAATATCAATTCTCACTTCCTCAATCAGAGAAACCACAACAATCATCATTTCCTCAACCAGAAAAAGCACAACAATTTGGATTAACACAAGAATCAGAACAAACCCAACAATATCAAATGCCACAAGAATATTCATATTCTCAATTAGATAAAGGAGAAAAACTTCAATTAACAAAACAACCTGAACAAATGCCACAATATCAATTATCATATCCTCAACAAGAAACAACACAACAATTTCAATTACCAAAACAAGCCGAACCAATGAAAGAATATCAATATCCAAAAGTATTTTCAACTCCTCAACGTGAGACAATGCAACAATTTCAACTTCCTGAACAACAACAACAACAACCATCATCAGCCTATGGTAGTCAACCACAATTTCAACGATTTCATAATTGGCAACAACCATATCATGGATTTCAGACTTGGCAACAACCAATTCAACGACAATAAGATTTTCATCGAACAATACACTAAGCATTAGGTTATTAAGAATTAACGAGAACGATTTTTTTTTCTTGAAACTATTGTATTTTAACTACTCTATATGCTTTTCATTTTCCTTCTTTTTTTTTTTTTTATATATTCATCATGATTTTGATAGTCTTTTCTGGATATTATTTATTTCTTCATATTTGACAAGCAATAGAATCTCATTTTAACATTATATTTCGTTTTCATAATAGAACCAAAAAAAAAAACAAAAACAAAACTAAATGAAAGATAAATAATATTTAATCTGAATCGATTAATTGAAGTTGATTAATAAGATGTTGTTGAGCAGTTAATATATGATGATATTTTAGTAATTGAAAACGATTTCGTTCTAATCGAAGTCGAATTGAATATAAATCCGTACGTAAAGATGTTAATTGACATGTTCTAATTCGAGTTTGTTCATTTGATAAATGAATAATTTCACGTTCGATTTGTGTTGATGGCCAATTAAGTAAATGTTGAATTAAATCAGCACGATAATATCGTTTAATATCATTTGAATTTGAATTTGTTATTGTTGATGAAGATTTATATTGATTTGGTAAAATAATTGATGGTGAATGTTCTAATTCTATAATAGCATTTATTGTATTTGAACTTGAACGTAATGATGATGGAATAATAATTGAAGAAGAAATATCTTTATTAATTTGTGTTTTTATTGATTGTTTTCGATGAAATAATTTAAATATATTTTCAATAAGAGAATTTGAGAATATATCATAATGAGATTTTTTTGATGAATTAATTATAAATGGAATAGAAATATTTGTAAGACTATTATTTGATGTTGGAAGTGGATCAACATGATCTATTTGAATTATTTCATTTGGTGGTGGTGATGTTGGTGTTAATAAAATAATATCATCATTTTTATTTTTATCTTTTACAAATTTTTTATATGATGAATCAACTTCAATATTATCTTTTTTTCGTTTATGATAATCGATTCTCATAGATTTATTTCGATCATTTTTATTGACTGATCGTTGATAAATCGAAGATTTTTTATCGGAATGAGATGATCGATCACGAGTAGAATTGAAATTTTCATTAGATATTGAAATTAAATTTGATTTTTTTGAATAATATCCATTATTAACAAATAAATAATTGTTATTATTTGAAGACTAAAGATAAAAATTTTTAATCATAGAAATAAATATTCTTACTCGTTTTGAATGAAAATCATTTTTATTGATAGATCTTATTTTAATTGATGACGATAATTGTTCTCGTGTTGGTTTTTCCCATTGAGATTGATCGGTAATAATATTATAATAATAAATTCGTCCATTTGAACTTTTATGTTCTTCCCATAAACAAGATGATTGTCGTCGTTTAAGAGATCTATGATTATGTTGTCGAAATGAAGTATTCCTATGTGATCTATTTCGATTATGTTGCTTTTCAAAATGATAATGTTTTCTAACTTCTCGATGATTATATTGAGAAATTTTTCTTTTTTCATATTTTTGACGATAATGAATAACAGTTGGAGATAATGAAGAAAGAGAAGGAGAATTATCTCGATTAAAATCACATGATACTGATGACAATGCCATTCAACTAACAAATTAGATAATCATTATCAATCAGCTGATATACTTTGAAAAACTTTCTTCTTTGTTCTTATTTAAAAACATAATGAATATTCTCTTTTATAGATTCAGTAGTTCAATTAAACTATCAAAAACAATAAGATAAACTTGTTGTTAAGTTATCGACATGAGTCATATTCAAATTAAATGACAGAAAAAATATATATATATATAATGTTCAGTGTGTGTCTGTTTCTCTGCTGGGTTAAAGGACAAACATCAAAAGGTAAAGGTTAAGATTTCTAGCATTTTCATATCATGTCTAAAATAGGCTTGGTAGCACTAGGGTTAAACAATCTGAGTTGAGCTTGTCACAATTTACGAGAGGAGGTCACCAACTGTTCAATCACTTTTGAGTCAGAACTATGTGCATCATGTGGGTCCTAATGAGCTATGAATACCCTGAAAAGAGTTCGAGCCACTAGCTTATTATTGTCGAGATACTGCATTTTGACAATATTGTTAAGTAGAATGCCGTAGTTTCCTTCAGGAACCAGAAAAACTGAGTTTCGAGTTTTGACTTGAAACTTTGCACAGAAATAGGTCTCAGTAAGAGTAGTTTATTGTGAAAGTTTCAAGCCTTTTTAGTTGTTCCTATCCTAAGATACGGCTAAAAAGGGTGTTTTTACAGTGCTCGTATACTCCCGACAGGTTCTGATGTTCTTATTTCAGAATAAGAACAACCAAAAGATCTGAAACTTTCACAATAAACTACTCTTGCTGAGGCCTGTTTCTGTGTCAAATTTCAAGTCAAAACTCGAAACTCAGTTTTGCTGGTACTCCTGAGAGGTACCACGGCATTCTGCTTAACAATATCGTAAAAATGCAGTATCTCGACAGTAACAAGCTAACGGCTCGAACTCTTTTTAGAGTATTCATAGCTCATTAGGACTTACATGATGCATATAATTCTGACTCAAAAGCAAATGAACTGTTGGTGGCCTTTCCTCGTTAGCCTTTGTATATAATCGACTAATACTTTGATTCATTTAAAATAGAATTGATTTATCTCTTTAATATATTTTTTTCATTTAGTGCTCATTTGTCTTATTTTTCGGTGTTCTTTTCAGGTATAACTAATTAAGTGCTCAATTGTCTTTTTTTGGTGCTCAAATGATATTTTTGCTCCTTTTCAAGTTGGTGATAACGTGTTGTATTGACTATATTTTTGTGCATTAAATAACAACCTATTAATTCTTGCTCATATCGTTTAATCGTTTTATTAAACACTTCCTGTATCTTTCTTTCAATGTTGTCAGGTGGAAAACTTTTTGAAGATCATCTGTTGGACATTGAAACAGGTGATATATAATTCGTAAATAACGACGATAAAAACCATTAATCTTATCTTTTCGTGTTTTCGACAAGAGACAATATAATGATGACATTGTATATTGTATCTTATAGAAGGAAGAGCCGTTCTCGAGAAACTCGGAAACAGGGAAGTACCCTTAAACCAAATGATGTGTCAGCAATCAATGTTAACATACAAATATTGAATACGAAAAGTGAACAGCCAGTAAAATACAATTCGTAACTACATATTGTAATGCATTCGTACTTAACTATTAAGGTTTACAATTAGAAATTCAATGCAACAAAACTCGTTATGAAGTAAAAACAAAAAAGTTAATTCTTTTAGAATTGAATCCTATTCGATATAAATATTTTAGTTTTGAAATATTCTATTTTATTTTACATAAAGTATGAAGCAAGAAGACAAGAAAATTTATGAACGAAAAGCCGGTTTTTTCGTATATTCATATTGTAAGACGTGAATCTAAAATATAAAAATAAAACAAAATGAATAAGAAAAGAAAAGAAAATATTAACTTCTTTGATAATATTTTGAAAAAATAGTTCATATTGAATAAAATCTAGTTGACATTGTTTAAGTGCTTCTTCCATTTGATAATCAACACGTGTTAAAATATCCCAATCAATTGATAATATTGATGGATATTTAATTGCTAATGTTTCATCTTCATTTATATCAATATCCCAACTAAAGTTTTAAATAAATATATTATTAATTAATATAAATAAATGAAAATTGATTTACCTTTGATTTTCTTCATTTGATAAAATTTCATTTGGTAATGATGGTTCAAGTATAGTTGTATCTTGTGTTCGAATTCCAAGTAATTGTTTAAGTGATGTTAATGGTGTTGTTGGAGTTTGAGATGGTATCATAACTAATGGTGTTGGAGGAGATTCAATTGGAAGTTCAATTGAATTATTTATTAAATTTATTCGAGAAAATTGTTCAATAGGCCATGTTAAAATATTTGAACGAAGATCATTTGATAATGATAAATGCATTATATTTAATGAATGAAAATGTCCTGGAAGATCATTAATAAGTCGAATATAATCATGAATTTTTAATTCAAGTCTATTAAAAAGAAATTTTTTATTATAATATTAAAAAATAAAATGTTGTTTTAATTACTTTTCTAATTTTTCTAAAGGATTTTCTTGAATTATTTTATTTAATTGATTATCAATTCTATTAAGTTCATTTCGTTTTTCATTTATTTGTTGATGAATACGTGGAATTAATTTTTCATCAGATTTTTTTGTTTGTTCAATTTCTGTTTGAACTCTTTTTTTTAATAAACTTAAATGAACATCAACTGATTTACTCTAAAATTATAAATTATAATCAAAAATTAAGATTATTATGTGTTTTTTTGTTTTGTTTAACTAACAGCAATCATTGCATCTAGAATAGACATTAATTGAGTTTGTTCAATTGATGATCGACGAGATAAAACTTCTCGTTTACTATCATCAAGTCGACTACGAAGTTTTGCACATTCCATACGAATATTTGCCAAATGTACAAATCTAACAATATATTATAAAATAAAAATTTAAAGATAAATAAATGATTATACTGTTTAGTAAAATTCAGATTAGTTTTTCTAAGAGCTTCTTCATAAGTATCAATTATAGTTGAACTTCGTTCTTGTTCATCTTTTTCTATTTTACTAAAAATAAATTCATAGAAATAAATAAATAAAAAACAAATAGCTAAAAAACAACACCTAAGTTGATTAATTCGTTGTTGAATAAGTGTATTCATAAGAGAACATAAATCATTCAAATGAATTGATTGTTGAAATTTTCCTATTAATGAATTATTTGGATTGATTAATTCTGTAACTAATTCTAAAAATAAACATATTTTCTTTATAATAAAAAGATAAAATAACAAAATACCTTGATGATTTGTTGAATTTGTTGATGTTAATAAATCTAATTGTTGTTTTATTTGAAATAATTGATTTAAATAATTAGCTAATTGTCGATATATTTGAAGTTGTTTATCAAGTGAAGATATAATATAATATTCATCATTAATCATTGTTTGAACACGATTTAATTCATTAAATACATTTGTTGATTGTTCTGAACGTGCTGAATAAATTTCACGTAAACGAAGAGAAATTCGTTGTTCAATTTGACCGTGTTGAATTTGAGCATTTTTATGTTGTTCCCATCGATCTGGATAACGTTCTTTTAATTCAGCAATACGTAGAGTTTCTTTTACTTTTCTAACAAAAAAAAAAAAAAAATTCAAATGTAAAATCTAAAATTTATTTGTTTTTGAAATTACTTGACATAATCAGTTGGATGACAATGTCGAATAATTCTTTGCCAAATATCATCTAAATTTGGATTTGATGTTAAACAACGTAAATTATCTCCATCAATAATAATATCAGCTATTTAATTAAATAAGAATAAATCAAAGAATGAAAAGCATAAAACTTACATTGAAATGATTGAAACCAACGAGCTAAAGCATCAGCTGTTGATGTTGAACGATCTTCACCTAACATCTTTTTTTTTTGTCTTTCTACTCGCGCTTACATTTAAAACAAGGGTATGAAAATATACACGGACTCGAAAATTATTAACGACATCTATTCAAAAGAATGAGTTCTTTATTGAAAACAAAAGATGTAAAATTTATTTATTATGATTTCTATTAGAAATTAAATTTTTTTTCAAAATAAAAAATTTTGAATAAAATCTAAATGGATATTGAAAAAGCTAATGAAGTATAAGGAGGTTTTCGTTAGTTAACCGTAACTACTTTTATTTTGCATTGGATCTTGTGTTGTTTGATGCCATTACAATAGTTTATTAAATCAATTGATAAATTTAGACCAGAGAAATATAAGATAAGTTCCTCGAAAACTTAAAACGAAAGACCGAAATAGTGTTTCAACACAAGCTAGAACGAAAAACTTTTATCACATGATAAATTTGCTTTAAAGATAAATCTTTCTTCATTAATTAAGTCTTCTAGACACTAGATAACACCTCAGATGATTCATGCTTAGAGGTCGTTTTTGTTGTTGAATAACGGTTATTTTAGGAAATTTTTTAAAATGTCGTGATTTTCTTCAAATTACTGTCGAAATTGATCTTTGAATTTCGAGTTCAAATTTTTCTCAAGTTTCTTAATTTTTGAATAACATGCGAATGCAAAATGATATAGAGATGCGATTGCGATTTTCACTATGGCATAGACGACGCTTAAGTGCACATAGTCATGTGACAATCGTAATACTAGCGCAAGGTCAATCAAGTACGATATTTAATAAATCTGAAAAATACCACCAATGGATTCTAATTAAAGTCAAAACATATTTATACATAGATGAAATTGATTTTCAAAATTTTGAAATCATTTCGATAGAAATATCAATAGTGTACAATAAGTATCTTAAATATGAAGTTATAACGAAATTTTTTTTACTGACAGAAAGAACTTTTATTTTTGGAAAGTTTGAATTCGAAATTGAAAATTCAATTTTGACAGTAAGTTTAGGAAAACTACAGCATTTTGTAAAACAAAAAAAAACTTCCTTAAATGGGTATCATTCAAACAAAAAAATCTCTGGATATGAATCTTCTTAGGCTTCATCTAATATCAATGAAGCTTACTTAATCAGATAAGATTCATCTCTAAAATGATTTATAACTTGATAAAATTCTCTCGTAAGACACATTAGTAACAACAATAAATATTTAATTGGATATAATATATCCGTAAGCTATTATAAAGAATAATAAAAAAATTTCTTTTGATTTATTTTTTTAAGAATGATGTTAGCTCGATGTACATATAACAGTGCAGTTCTCCGATTTATTATTTTATCATCGTCATTTTCACAAAATTTTCTCAATCGATCTTCGTTACATCAATTTTTTCGTCTAATTTCTTCGAGTTTTACTTATCGTCATCCAACATTCACTATACCATTATCAACGACTACCAAATCCGCCATAGTAAAATTATCATAAAAAAAAAGAGCAATTGATTATTAATACATATTTACCTATTTAGTCTTTTTCTTGTCGTTCATTTTCAATATCTTCATCTCGATTATTAGCTCCTGTTATTCAATTTAAATTAGCTGATATTGGTGAAGGTATACGTGAAGTTGAAGTTATAGAATGGTTTGTTTCATATAAATAACATAAATTTGATTTATTTAAATTAGATATTAATATTTATTCAGGTATGTTCAAGTAGGTGACAATATTAAACAATTTGATAAGATTTGTGAAGTTCAATCAGATAAAGCTAATGTAACAATAATATCTCGATATGGCGGAACTATTGTTAAACTTCATCATAAAGTTAGTTCTACAGCTAAAGTTGGTCAACCACTTGTTGATATTAAACTTGAATATGATATTGATGTATTAACTGGAACTAAAAGTAACAATTCTATATAAAAAAAAAGAACTAAAAGTAATTGTTTTTTTGTTTAGCTGCAACTATTATGCCAGAAGATACATTTGATAATACAACGGTTAATAAAAATTCATCAGCTAATATTTTAGCTACCCCTACAATTAGACAGATGGCTAAAGAATTACAAGTAAATGAATAGAATATAATTTGTTTGTTGTTTTTAATGTATTTTTTTTTATTAGATTTCGTTAAATGATGTTCAAGGTACAGGAAAAGATGGAAGAATACAGAAAGAAGATTTACTTCAGTTTAAATTAGCAAAATCAACACCATCGAAAACTTCACCTACAAGTCAGTTTTATCTTGTTTATCAACAAAATATTCATTTCTAATCTTAATAAAAAAAAATAGTTCCTCCACCATCACCAACGACTGTTAAACAGACAACAACATATCGTCCAGCACCAATACCTTCTTCATCAAGTTTAAAAAAACTCACTAGTCTTCCTCAAACAACATCTAATGTCGATAGAAATGAACCAATAAAAGGAACTCGTAAAGCCATAATTCAAATAATAACTGAAGCTAATTCAGTACCACATTTTACTTATTGTGACCAATATGATATGACACAATTAGTTAAATTAAAAGAACAATTGAAAAATCAATTAGATAATAAACAAAAACAAAAACCTTCTTATATGCCATTTATAATAAAAGCATGTTCACAAGTTTTACTTAACTATCCCATTCTTAATGCTCATGTTGATTCGAAATGTGAAACAATAACTTATAAAGTAAGATTTTAAAAAAATCACGAATAAAATTTCTAATAAATTTAATTTAAGAGTTCTCATAATATTGGTATTGCATTGAATACAAAAGATGGTTTACTTGTACCAAATATAAAAAATGTTCAACAATTATCAATAGTTCAAATTGCAAATGAACTTAATCGTCTTCAACAACTTGCACGAATTGGAAAATTATCAACAGAAGATCTTACAAATGGAACATTTTCATTATCAAATATTGGAACTGTAATATTTTTCTTTCAATTCATTGATTTTTTTTTTTTCTCATTAAAATTTTTTGAAAAAAGATCGGTGGAACATATGTTGTACCTGTTCTTCTTTTACCTGAAGTAGCTATTGGTGTATTAGGGAAAATTATTGTAAGTATATTCTTCATTTTTTACTTAAATAAGTATTTTATGTTAATAGCAACAAGTAGTTCCAGACGAAAATGATAAAAGTTCAAGTCTTGATGAAGAATATTGTTCATCTCATATTCGTTCAATGATGTCGATCAGTTGGTCAGCTGATCATCGTATTATTGACGGAACAACAATGGGTCAATTTTCAAATCAACTCAAATTTTTACTTGAAAATCCACTTCATATTCTCATTAATTAGTAAATTGTTTACTGTCTTCTTTTTATATTTCTAGAACAATAAAGTCTTCTTGGTACAAATGTATTTTCCTATATTGCATTGCGATAAACACCTTTGATTCCTAGTGGTCTGCTTTTTCGATTAAAAAAAAAGTCAATCACGATTGATATGGTGTTTGGTGCTTTATCATGAATAAGAATTATCGAAATGAAAAATGACTTTACTTGACAAATTGTTAATATTGGAAATCAGGTTGTTGAAGATGAAAGAAATGTATATTGACATTCTATAATCCTTTGGTCTCAAATTCAGATTGAAATTTTGCATTTTTTCAGTTTTGATATCTTTTTATTCTTTTTGTGTACTCAAAAAGTGAGTACACTCTAAAATCGGTCGGTGTGTCCGGCCGGCCGTTAACACGATAACTTTTGAAAGGAGAGTCCGATCACGATGAAATTTTCTACACAGTTTAGTCTTTACAATATCTCGGTCGAGAGAAGAAGATAAGAATGATTGGCCGAACCATTGCTGAGTTATTGCAAAAATAGTCAGTTTTCCCTATGAGAAGATAGACTCTTCTCTGTTTTCATAAAAAAATTTTCCTATCATAGTCAAATAAAACCTCAACTATTGTATACCATTCGATAGAGAATTTCACGAGCTACAAAATGGTATATAAAACATAAAGAAACAAGAAAGCTAACTTGCCTATTGCAAAGATAATTAATCAGAATTCGGTTCTGTTTTTGTCCACGCTCTATGTGATCCACAATTAGAGCTCTATCTTCCCATCACAGAGATGATAGTTCGTGGTTTTCTAGAATGGAGAACTCGAATCTATGTTCCATTCGCCTCGAAATCCCATTGGTTAAGCAGTGACCAATAGAAATCAAGTTATAGAAAAAACGAGTTTCTTAGGGTAAATCAAGGCGAAGAGTTGAAATCTTCTCTGTATTTGCTTCCAAATCGTATTGGTTGAGCAATAGCCAATAGGAATTAAGTGTTTACAGAAAGGGTTTGCCAGGACAATTTTGATGTTCACACATTCTAGGGTGACTCATCTGTCTCATTCACTTTTTGAAGTACACATAACTCTCGGATTTAAATCCGAGGTTTCCACATTTATTATTTTTTATATCTAATAGAAGCTATTAATTACATATAATAGTTATGGCCATATAGAGATAGTGACCCCCTACAATTAACACTACGTTAAAAGACGATAGCTATTAAGAAATAGAAATAATGACTAATATTATCCATATGTAAGACTTTATCGTATCTTGATTTTTTCTATATTCCTCTGATGTGTTTCTTATATCTTTATTGATTGAATATTTACTTAAACACAGTAGCTATCATTTGCCCATAGCGTTTTGGTTAATTGTTTATAATTACTTTACTATGATCAAAAACGGCCATTGATCCTGAGTCGGTGATATAATCCTGCTCAAAATCCATTAAGGGGACTCCCTCTCTTTCCCGACTAAAAATTTTCAGTTATTTCGTTTTGAATTTTTTATGTTGCGTATGTAGATTTAAATGCTCTCTATCGAATGAGCACATTTAAAGAAGACAAAACAATCTTTTTATATGTAAAAGCGTCGAAAAAAAACTCAATTTTATGCTAAAAAGCCAAAAAGTACAACTTTCTCTGCGTTTTTCTCAAAATCAAATTTTCAAGCAAAAAAATGACGTTTTACTCCTTTTTCTTTGCCGCGGTTCAATTGGCCGGACTCAAAGTTTTTTTAATAAGTACTTTGATCCAATTGGGGTGTGTCTTTTTTTTTCTTACTTGGTAATATTGTTCCTATGAAATTTGGTATCCTTTGGAACATTAGCACTATTGAAAAAAAGCACATTTTTCGATAGTGCCTTCAGTATTTTGCTCCTTCTGAGCTGTAGGAAAAATATTTTTTGAAGGAAACAAAAAGACATATCCCGATTTGATCATAGTCGCCACAGAAAAAATGGCAGCTCAGAAAGATATAACATAAAGTTTTGCGAGAAGGAAGACTACCCATTTTTGACTCTTAGGTACCGTATATCTCTCTGAAGGAAGAATTTGGAATTCTTGAGTCTATGGCAACTTTTGCTCTACTCATCAGGATCTAACTGCCCTGAAAGTGTCATCATTTTTCGTTCAGCTGTTCTCGAGAAACCACGAAAAGTGGGTGGAGATCCCCTTAAGCTAGTCAACAGGGTATTTCGTTTCTTTAAAAAAGCGTTCAAATTTCCAGAATATTTGTACGGAGACTAATAAGAAATAGATATATTAGAGATGTTTAAGTTACTTCCAATATGATGGATAGTGACAATACTTCATATACTCTTTCTTTTGCTTTTCTAAGAGCTTTTCACAAAAACTCAACAGGTCCTTGTCATGCAGTTGCCTTAAAAATTCCAGCAACTTCTACAAACTATTCTTTCGAAATTTTTCTGTAAATCCTCGTGATCATCTCATCGTCAAATGGAAGAAATTGAAGCAAAGACAGGTGCTTGGTTGAAGGTGAAAGGTCACTCTTTCAGGTCATATACTTTTGTGTACTCAAAAAGTTCATACACTCTACAATCGGTCAGTATGTCCGGCCGTCCGGCCGTTTACACGATAACTTTTGAAAGGAGAGTCCAATCACGATGAAATTTTCTATACAGTTTATTCTTAACATTGTCTCGATCGAGTTCGAAGATGAGAAGGATTGGCCGAGCCGTTCCTGAGTTATTGCAAAAATACTGATTTTCCCTACGGCTTCCTATAGGAAAATCGACCTATCCTCACTTTCGTAAAACATTTTCCCTATCATAGTCAAATAAAATCTCAACTATTATATACCATTCGATAGAGAATTTCACGAGCTACAAAATGGTATATAAAACATAAAGAAATAAGAAGGCTAGCACACCTATTGCAAGGATAAATCAACGGAAATCGACTCTGTTTTTGTCTGCGCTCTAGTCAATCCACAATTCGAGCTCTATATTCCGATCACAGAGATAATACTTCGAGGTTTTCTGGGATGGAGAATTCGAATCTGTAATCCACTTGACTCGAAGCCACATTGGTTAAGCACTAACCAATAGAAATCAAGTTATAGGAAAAACGACTTTATGAGGATAACTCAAGGCGAAGAGTTCAAATCTGAGCTGTATTCACCCAGAAATCCTATTGGTTGAGCAGTAGCCAATAGAATTCAAGTGTTTATAGAAAGGGTTAGCCAGGCTAATCGTTATATCCACACATTCTAGGATGACCGATTTGTCTCATTCACTTTTTATAGGACACATAAATCTCGGATGTAAATCCGAGGTTTTCACATTTATTTAAAATAGGATTGAATTGTATCCTGTACTATCAAACAGAAGAATTCCGTTTGCTCAATGAATCTAATGAATACTAAAAATGATAAATCACGAAAGGTTCGTAAATTTAACGACAAATCTCTTCACGAAATTTCAAGATTACATGATTTGCCTGTACAAAAAATATATGTAAAATAAACTCTGTTGAAAACATACCGGAATAACTGGCATCTCTTTAATACGAGTTAGAGTTGGAAAGGTATAAAATTGCTCCTCCCCGTTCATCTCATTCTCTCATTACTGCCTGAAACATTTTGAGCCTCCCCTAAATTAGAACCGTTCCGCTGCCTCTGGATCTAATACTCGATATTCGTTTTATTTGTTTATATAAATTATATTAAATATTTAGCTTAAATTGAACTATGTATATCTTGATTTCGTCATATAAATTGTAAAAATCCCTTATATATAATGTTCAGTGTGTGCCTGTGTATCTGTGCCGGATTAAAGGTCAAGACCAAAGGTCAAAGGTCAAAGATTGTCCATTAGCTAACGTATCTATGCATTCATCGTTTACATTCGCTTCTTCAGTTCGTTCTAGATGTCCACAGTGTCTGTTTCTTCTATCGATAGAGCTGTAAGAGAACGTCAAGAACAAGACGTTTCAACAAGAGAATTGATTCAGATCCTTATTCAAGAGAGAATTTTGTACAGGGAAGATGATTCGGAAGTTTCTAGATCGATAATTCATCATTATCACAGCTAAAATCCATAAGACGATGGAAAATTGAAATTCAGTTATTTCTCTTATCTCAAGCCATGGGCATTCCAAACTTTGAAGTTTTAAATATCTCGATGAGTACTCTCTCTGGTATAAAAATGAGGGCTAAACTCGATGTACATGTCCCGACCCTCCATTGTAAGACCTGTCTTTATGCAAACATTCACATTTCTCTGCAATATTCTTCAACCAGTTATTGGATTTATGTTCTATCTTTCAAAATATAAACTGTATCATGATAAATTTGTTTCAGCTTCAGTTCGTTCATTAAATCAATTATTTCGTAAGAAAAATCCACTTTTATTAAAAAGAAAAGATCAAGGAAAACCAACTGAATTTTAACATGATCTTGTTTCACTTGATTATGCAGAAGTAAATCTACTACCATATCTTCAAGGTACTGAAATACTTCATGCTAGTATCAGTGATCATGATCAACAAACAATTGATGAAAACGAAGAACAAGATGATCAAAGTGAAAATGGTTGAACAAGACAAGATGACGAGCAGATTTAGTTGCAAAAGCTGTCGAATCAAGATTGCTTTCATCTTTCTGTTTTTATTCTTCAAATAAGAGTATCAAGTCGACACGAAGAAAACCATAAAGAATATTAAAATACCTTTTTCCTCCTATTCGTATAAGATCATCAACTAAAGATGCAAAATCTGCCAAAGATTTCCGTAGAATGTATGAAAATCTAAAAATAATTTCTGTCGCTTGAATAAGTCCAAGTAAGAATGCCATTTTTAACAATATCTATTGACGAGACTAGGAAAATTATTCAGTGGAATGTTTGCTTTCTAGAATATTTCCTCTGGAAAAACTCTTTTTCGCAAGTTTTAAATAAAATAATTCAGAGAAAATAGTAAAAAACAACTTATGAAGCAGGAAAAAAATTGACACTTATCAACTACGAATATTCAAAGCCGCCGATCACTGAAAATGAATCAGATGTTTGTTATCTATATGTAACAAATATTGCCTCATGTTCGTTGCTTTCTAATGTTCGATCTTTTTTGCCATTATTGAGCTCAACATAGATGCTAAGTTTTTGTAAAATATATTCACATCGATTGTTGAAGTATTTACTCTAGAGTTTGTCTGGCAAACAAGTGCCTGTTATTCATCTTAAAAGAAAGAAATCTGTGAGTTGATTTTTTACACGTATAAGATAACAAATAAAGAGAATAAATTCTCACAAAGAGAGAGCAGGTCAAAATATTTGTAGCAATGGATCTAGAAATGTTTAGATTTTTCTTAGAAAGAAAAAGTTGCATTAAATTTTTGAGGAAATGGTGTTTTTCTTCCCTTTTAAACTTGGAAAACTTTCCTCACTAAATAACTCTTTATATATTCCATTCTAGTTCAAGTTTTTTTCTCCTCCATTTTCGTGAATTTCTTCGAGTGAACTGTTTTTTTCCAACAGTGCTGCTGCAGCCTACGAGTAGATTCTGCACCCTTATCATCAACTACCAAAATTATAACACATAAAATGTAAAAAAGAAAAAACTATCATGTATATCAAAACCATTATCGTAGCGAATGATTGAAACATAATTTGACAAAATGTTGTAGACTAAATAATAGTTAAATGAGCCTTGAGAATCATTTTTGTTTTTTGTTGTCGTTAGATTAATGTGTCATCATTCTACACTGTTCGTTTTAAATTATTCGTTGAGAAATAATAATATTTTCTTTTTCATAAAAATATTCGAGAAAAATCATCATTAAAAGAGTATATACATTATTATTAAAAACTCTTCATTATCCGTTATATGACGAAGCTATATGTTTGAACTACTTTTTCTTGTATTAGCTTAAGTATACAAGTTAATATCGATTATAAAATCATAAATGAAATATATTGGAATATTTAAATTTAGAAAAACATTTTATTTAACTCTTTTCAAATTTTGCCATTCCAACAGTCAAATCGTTAAAGTTAAACTGTAGCTATCTATCATTTCTAAATAATTCATAGATGCCACTGATTAAGTAGTCTTTTTTCTTATTCTATAAGGAATTGTTCTATGAATTAAAAATTTTTTTGTATGTCAATGAATTATAGATACGAATCGAATAGACATAGCTGTAGAAGAGATACTGTATTATAGATAAATCCAGCATAATAACCATTAATGACCCTACACTATCCGAAGAAGTTTACTTGTTTCTTTTTCCATCACTCTTCTTCTCTGTAAGATTATATAATGAATAGAATAAATAATTCGACGAGTTGATATCATCAACATATCTTTTATGAATGTCTTTGTTTCACTTATATATATATAAAGATAAATCGACAATCAACTCCATTTTTCATTTTATTTCGTCGTCCGTATTGCTCATAGACTGCTTATTGTAAAGTATATAATAACATGCTATTTATCAATTGTTCTCTCATTTGATACATTCTTTACACATAATAAACTGAGCTATTGGACTATTAACATCTTTTATTCTCGTCATTTATTCAAATGGATATATGTACATGTTTAGAAGATTTATCAAATGAAATTTTCTTTGAAATATTTGATTATTTACATGCACTTGATATATTTACTGCTTTTGCTTCATTAAATAAACGAATTCAATCTATTCTACAATCAATTCGACTTCATGTCAATATCTTAAATAGTCATTATGATCGAGAAATTAATTTTCTTTCTTCTCTTCTTACTTTTCATGCTCATCAAGTCATATCATTAAAATGTTATGATACAATTCGTGATCATTCATCTATTATTAGTTTACTATTTAATCGACATCATTTTATTAATCTTCAATCATGTATATTTATATTGGATAATTCATCAACTGAACTTGAAAATGTTATTAAACAAGTTGAAAGTTTGAATAGACTTGTTGCATTTTTTATTATACAACCACATGATAAAAAAATTAATGAGAAAGATAAATGTGATATAACTCGAACTATATTGATGAACAAATCATCTTCTCTTCGTTCAATTAAGCTTCATTATGATTATGATTACTTGGACATATCAACTTATACTTCAAATGCTTCAAATACTAAATCACTTGAATTGTTAATATCTGGCTCATCGAATAAAGTATCAATTTATTCAATTTTGCCAATTCTTCGTGTTTGTCATAGAATACGATATCTACATGCCATAATAAAACATGAAATTCTATCTGAAAATAATTATTTAAAGTAAGTTGTAATGAAAATATCCGATGAATATTCTTTATAAAACAAGATTGAAAATATAATTATTCTTTTTTTTTCTTTTAGTTTTTCAATTCCAGAAGCATTTATTAATGAAAATGATCTTCCTATATCACCACAATTGACATGCTTCGATTTATCAATTTTTGGTCAATCTTACATTGATTCAATCGCTTATATCTTACGTTCTATGCCAAATCTTGTTCATTTTAAGTTTCTTCATGAAGCAGGAAAAATAAGGAGCCTATCTGCTGAACATTTTCTCAATGGTTATAAATGGCAACATATGTTTGAAATGCATGTTCCATTTTTATCTAAATTTGATTTTCATATATCAATTGTGAGATATTATCCAAAATTAAATTTAGACCGGGTCGTAAATTCATTTGAATATTTTGTTAAAAAATATCCCGAATGGCAAATGATTATTGATCGATGGCTACTTGATGAGAGAAATCTATGTAAGTAAAATTGCTTTAAATTGGAAAGAAAGAATAGAAAAAAAGTTGGCATGAAATAGAAATGCAATCAGGAAATGAATTTCAGTCTATATGCTCTCTTTATCTTATTACAGACAATGTACAAAGAAAAAAAAGTATTCAGAAGATGAAAACAACTTCAGGTTGAGGATCTAGTGGAGAGGCTATGGTACGATTCCGAGCTCAGTAGGATTGCGCATTCATCAGATACTTACAAAGAAAAACAGATAAAAATAGTTTTTTGTTTTTGGTAGTCAAAATTTCTTTGTCAGTGATTATTTTAAAGAATAATTTGCTTTCTTGTTCAACAGAAACCACTTGTCTGAAGGTCCTGACAAAGTCATTTTTTTATTGTTACATCTTATACGAAAGAAAGAAATTAGAAGTTCAACTAGTCCGAAAAAAGTCAGTAAGAATGGGAATTCTTATAGACACGCTTTCAAATATGAGAAAAATACTAGTTAAATCCAATAAGTGTGTTCTGCAATTAAACATGTCCTTTCAAAGAAAATAAAAATATTAATTGGTTAAAATCAAGCTCCTTCGACAATTCTGGCTTGTGAGATAACAAAATAGGCAAGAAACATTTTCATTTGTAACCGCAATATATTTGACTTTGTTGAAGAAAAGGATAACTTTTCTATATGACAAAGGAGGAAACCAATATTCAAAATTTATCATAAAAATAATGGATCAACCAACTATCATGTTTACTATGAAATTCTCATGTCTCAGACTTTACAACCATCTATCTATCTTTAAATAGTTTTCTATCACAAAAATCGACTTTGTTAAGACGAGCAAAGAAATATTCATAAAATATCAACAACAATGCACAGATAACCAATTATTTCACAATGAAGACTCAAACATTAGCCTATGAAAATCTGTTTATCCCGAAATTAAATTTTTTTGAACATACAGTGTTTTTTTGTTATAGTCGAGATTGCTATATTACGCACATTTGCTTATCACAAATACGAAAGAAATCTACAAATAAACATTCCAATTATTTATTATGGATCATTTGATACACGATCAACAAAAGCAACAACAAATGATCATTATCTTTATTATTCGGACATAAAAGATTTAAAATTAAAAATGATGAATATAGAACCAATAATTACTTCTTTTCCTTTATTTCAACATATAAATTCTCTCGTCATCGCTTTGCCAAAAATGTTTCCACGATTATCAAACAATGGATTGAATATTGGTAAGAAGAATACATATTTGTTTTAAATTATATAGTTCAGTTGATGAAAATGAATTTGTCACTTTGAATTTATTTAAACTGAATATTTTTGATTTTTATCAGATATAGACAAATTTGATTTGATTATTTTTTCCGTTGCTTTTATTCATTATCTTTCTTTTTAGTGAACTATGTTCAATCAATTGACAATGGTCGTTCGCAGGAACGTGTTACTTATCTTTCACGTTTTGTTCATTTAGCCAATGTAAATGAAATTAACTTTCAATCAGATGGGGATATATCTAGATGGAAAGATATTCAATTTATTCTACAGTAAGTATATTTGATGTTTATAAAAATTTATTTTTATTTTTCTATTTCGATTTCTAAATCTATGAGTTCTTTTTAATAATTCTAATATGTTTTTCTCAATGAATAATTTTATTGTATGTCAGATAGATAATATTGAATTCTATCGAATAATAATCATCGTCAATAAATTTAAATATATTAAATATATTTTATTTTTCTTTTTTAGAGCATGTTCAAATGTGATTAATCTTAAAATTAATCCTTCACATTTGGTTTTACCAGAATTCATCGACAGTCCATCTCTTCTTTCAATTTTCAAACAAATTAAAATACTCAAATCAATAACAGAAAATCATTATGTTCCTTCAAGTTTTTCATTAAAACTTGTTGAACGTTTTCCATCACTTACTGATATTGAACTTAAAGTATTTTCATTCGATGATTGTATATCTGCTATTGATATATTACTTACTCATCTAAAAAATTTGTCTTATCTTAAAATTTATTATATTCAAGTTTCATCACTCGATCATCCTTTTTCACGTAATTATATTATTGAAAAACGTCGTCAAGCATTTCGTTTTAATATTATCGATGAACATAAAGTTACAGTTAGCAAGAATACAAAATCTGTAGAAATTGGATTATCATAATTTTATATGTATATAGATTTATTTTTGTGTAAATAAAGTTGAAATGAAAATGCTTTTCAAGTCAGTTTTATTTGAAATAAGAAAGATTATTTCTGCTGTTTTTGTATGACTTCGAAGATTAGATGAATATTCAGATAAAATTGATACATTTGTCTGGAATGTTTTCAAAATAAAATGTTCAAAAAAGACAATTGTAACATTTGATCATTTTCTTGAATTATTATTCTATTCAATTACATACATGTAAAATAATCTAAATATATTTCGATTAGCTAGAAATCTAGAACTAGATTTTTATTTGTTTGTATCTATTTACATAATCAGTATGTATGTCGATCATGATCATTGAATTGTTTAAGTGTATGAAGGTTTTTGAAGTTTTATTGGTATTTGAAAACATTTCTACATATTTATTCGTTCTTAGAATTTATTGATCAATCAAATCGAGAGATTTGATTGATATGAAGTGATGTACAAATTATTCATTTGGAATTTTTTGGAAAACTTTATTTATATAGGTTGTTCGTTAAGTGAACAGACTGAATGAGGTCTTTTGTTTACAATATTTTGTTGATAATTACGTTTGATATGAAACATGTGACTCGTAACTGGAAGAAGTAAACCGATGTTATGATCTTTGTAATCACTAGACTTGAGGTCATTAGGCTTCTTATTGTAGTGAAATACCAAAACAAATGCATAGAAACGATAGCACAAGATCTGGTTGATGTAAACACTACAAGAAACGCAAGAAATTAGAGCAAGAAAAGAGAAACACTGCGTAGTAATTTTTTTTTGGATAACCCCATTTTTATACAAATAGCTTGTAGCCATTGTAGTTGGAGGGGGAGGTGAGAAAGAGGGAGAGGTACGAAAAGGTGCTGTGGAATACGATGACAAACGACATTGTATACGACCGTGTACGATCGTTTACGTTGATCGTATAGACGTCGTATACGACACGACGATATACGGCCGTAATTCTGGCGGCAAGTAATACGGCGAAATACGGTCGTATACGATCGTAATTTATACCGTATACGATCGTTTACGACTGTCGTAATCCTCGTCCTGGGTACTCTTATTCAAAGAGGTGTCAGACCGATCACTCATTCTCAACAAAGAACAAAGTAAAGGAGGAAAATATTTGAAAGAACGGTATACTATTTTGCTCTGTTCAAATTAGAGCGGGTTCGACAAACTGAAACCACTAGTCATTGGTAAGTCTTAATGCATAATTTTCAGAAAAATCGTCAGTTATATTTTAGCGAAAAATCGACAACCACGTTGCGTTAAATATGTGAACATAGAAAAACTTCATGTAATATGGAGAGTTAATCGAACGGCCTGGACGAATGCGAAACTTTTCTCTGAATGGCTTACTGACATAAATGAGAAAATTTCTTGCCAAATTCTTCTATTCTTTGACAACGCCCTTTGTCATCCCACTGACGTACAATTATCTAATATCAAGCTAGTTTTCTTACCATTGAATACGATCAGTATGATACAATCTCTTGACCAAGGTATTATCCATTCTTTCCAATGTCATTATTGTCGAATGCTTGTTAAACACATTGTTCCTCAATGCACTATGGCGCATAGTATTGATCAAATTATAGTGACAGTATTTGATGCTATTCGATAGATCGATGAAGCATGGAACACAGTTACAAATACCACGATTCGTAATGTCTTTCGTGTAGCTGGCTTCTTTTGCACCTTGTCTGACCAGCACACTTCAAAACACTGGTATCATGCCAATAGATGATGATGGCAACCAAGATCCGACCAAACACCGAGATGATCTTCTGTCTCATTTGCGCATCGGTGATAGTCGGATGTTGGCTGTCTGACTGGTTAATATCGATTCTAACATTACTACCTTTAATGAATGGAACGACAATAGCGATGTTTTTGTTAAAATCAGTAATGTTGATACCATTGAAAATATTGAAGACATCGAAGAAGAAGAATCAATCGAAGAGACATCTCCGAAGCTGTTCGAAGCGCTCAATGTGCGACGAAGGTTACATTTATTCGTGTCGAAAGAACAACTTGAACTCCACTCACTTATCAGCGAACTCAAGTCGAAGATGTCTGACCTTTATCTTGATACAAAAGTGTCTAA